GGGGGGGGGGGGGGCGAAATCAGTTTTGTTGTGCGTTTCCTTGACTGATGAAGCCTTCTGGATCGAAGGCAAAACTTTTCAGCACAAAAAAGAAAAAAAAAGAAAGAAACTGTCCAAATGACCGGACTGAAAAATGTTGGATTTATTTTTAAACGTTTATCTTGCCATTTGATTTAACCTTGCTATTTATCATCTAAGAAAAATAATACTGAGAATTTCTAGACTTTAAACAAGTGTGAGAGGGGAAATGTCATTAAAACGTTTATTCATACACATTTGTTTCTTAAAAAAAAAAAAAACACAAAATGTTTAAGTTTGCCGATTCTGAAAATTGCAGGTGTTCAGCACAGACTCCAAGAGGGACAAATCTGCAACACATTCTCGGAGCTTGATCAAGATAAAAGCTTGCTTAGGTTTGAACAAAGAAGACACCAAATTCAGGTAAATAGGGTTCCTAAACAGGAAGTTTAGGAAACCATTTAAAAAGTTTCATAAACAAACAAAAAAAAAATGTGCGGTTTGCACCAAAAATCCATTTGCTCTTATTCATTACCACTGATGACAAGTGAAGAGGCATTTGTTTTGAAAAGTTACAATATATGTACCATATTTTTCGCTGTACAAGTCATAACTTTTTGCATAAATATGCAAGTCCTGCGACTTATACACCTAAGCAACTAATATACGTTTTTATCCGCATATTTATAACCCAATTTTTGGCTGAGATCTGACGATTCCATTCATTCTGACATGGAAAATATTAAACACTACCATTTTCAGCCACTAGAGGGCGCTCGACTAATATGGCAAGCCAAGTGTCTTGTTGAAAGTGGCTATTAATGAGACGCTTTGCTTGCCATAGAAAGCCCCTTTGTCTCGCTTCAGAACTACAGGAGCAAACGTCAAATTGGCTGAATTTCGCCACATCGCCCAGGCGAAATGCTACGACGGAGCTTAAGAGCCACGCTAAGAAAAAAATATATATTAAAAGCCATAAAATTATGAGAATAATCGTATTACGAGAATAGTTTTATTACGAGAAAAAAATTGCTCGACACTTTATTTTTTGCAGCTCGTTTATTTTTTCCACGACACGACCTATCAATAAATCCAGTAGGCGTGTCAGCAAATTACCAATCTTAAGCTAAATGCTCCTATGAGTCGCTGGGTCTCTTCACTCTTTCTGGCATATTTATTGAAGACCTCCAACAGATCAGCAAGCACAGTTTCGCTCACTGAACGCCATTTTTATACGGAACCAAAAACAAAAGTCATGACGTAATGACGTCACATACACGTCCCAGAAGTAACATACAAAAACGCAACACTAGGTGGCAGTATTGGAACGTTTTGAGTGAGAGCATTAATAACAATGAAGTTTAACATTCTTCATTTTACCACAGTTAAAATGTAGTAAAACCTGCTTTATTGTGTCAGAGTTCAAATATTAAAACTCATTTAGCTTCAAATTAGTCATTTGCTGACACGCCTACTGGATTGATTGACAGGTCGCGTCGTGGATCTGACTCTTGGAAAAAAACAAAAATAAACGACCGCTGTAAAAAACAAAAAGAAAAAAAAAAGTCTTGTACAACTTTATTCTTGTAACATTTGGATTTTTTTTATTTTTTTTATATAAAGGAAAAGTTAAACTGAGACACATCTTTGCTATAATTTTGAGCAAACAACTGTTTTTAATTGTTAATCTGGTCAAATTCTTGTTTAAAGTCCTCTCGTGCACGCTCCCACCATTTGGCAGCACACATTTCTGGGTGGTCAGCGGTGATGCATAATAGATGCAAGTTATACGGCGGTGCGACGTGTACGGCGGAAAGTACGGTGTATAGAAAACATCTTAATCAGTGAAATGCTTTGTTTAAACTTTATTTAGACACAATCATTGAAGAACAAAGCTGCTTTATAAAATATTTCCTCGACAAAGCTAAGATTTAAGACTTCTTTCACAGTTACATTAGACTTTGTGCTGAAACGAAGGAAGGAATTACAGTAGCACTAACATACGCCTATATACAGCAACCCCATTTGTTGTATTTCTGAAGAATGTGGCTTCAGTGTTTTGTCTTTTTTTTATGTTAGATATTTAAGGCCAAACCATTATGATGAAAGCACAACTCAGAAAACCTCTAATTAATCCTTACATTAAAAAAGAAAAGCTGCCAGCTAATTACTAACTTTTTTTTTTTTTTTTAGCCTTTATTTATCCAGGTTAGTCTCATTGAGCCACGAGAACTCATTTTCAAGAGAGACCTGTTTAGGGAGCACAGGATGGGGTTAAGGGCCTTGCTCATGGGCCCAGAGTGGGGCGAATGAGGGTGGGGGCAAGTGTGGGTGTTTCACCTAGCCCACCCATAATTTTTTTGATGTTGTCGGGACCGGGGCGTGAACCGGCGATCTTCGGATCACAAGCCCACCTCTCTAACCTCTGCGCCACCACTCCCCCCAAACTTACAAACAGATTCAACTCTAGAAGTACATAGTATAGTAAAAATCTGCTAACCTACAACTTGAAATCTAAAGGTTTGCTTTAGGACTCTAATTTCAAGCAGTAAAGAATTAAACAGAATTGAAAACAAATACCCCTAATACCAAAATAAAAAATCTTTAAGACGCGTCAGCTAAAATTTTCCATGGTTTTGTTTGAACTGATCACAGCTCGTCAGTGGACTCCGACATGGAGCGCTCTCTCTTCTCGATGCCCGTGACGAAGTTGAGCAGGTCGACGGCCGTCACCACGCCGAAGACCATCTGCTTCAGGACGGTGGAGCCATCTGTCAGGTCTGAGGGAGGAGAGAGGAGGACAGAAATGAAACGCTGGCATTACGCTGGATCTGGATCGCAAAGCAACAAATAACAGTTTAAAGTGATATCCGTTATAGTAAGAACAAGAAGCTACAAAGCCCTCAACAACCTAGCTCCATCATATATTACAGATCTTATTGTTCCATATTTTCCTAACAGAGCACTTCGCTCTCAGACTGCAGGCTTACTTGTGGTTCCTAAAGTTCCCAAAAGAAGAATGGGAGGAAGATCCTTCAGTTCTCAGGCTCCTCTCTTGTGGAACCAACTTCCAGTTTCTGTCCGTGAGGCTGACACATTGTCCAGTTTGAAGACTGGGATTAAGACTTTTTTTTTTTTTTTTTTGGATAAATCCTATAGTTATGGTTGGCTTGTTATGTTGCTATAGGCTTAGACTACTGGAGGTCAAACTGACCTAATTTCCTTAAATGATGTGTTAAAATTAAATAGTTTTCATTTGATATTATTTCTCTTATGTGATTCTTGACCTGCCATTGTGTATCCGTTCTTCCTTCCTGTTCCTCTCAAATCCAGCCGGTCGAAGCAGATGGCCACTTGTCCTGAGTCTGGTTCTGCTAAAAGTTTCTTCCTCATGAGGGAGTTTTTCCTTTCCACCGTCACCTTCATGCTTGCTCAAGATGAGAGTCTGTGATAGAGGCAGTCTGCTCCTCAGATAAATAACGTTATTAACATTTATGAATGTTTCTGTCCAGTGCCCTGAGATGACTTCTGGTGTGACTTGGCGCTATATAAATAAACTGAACTGACCTGAAGAAAACTGTGCAATAATAATATGATTTTTAATGTCCTAGCATAAAATAAAGTAGCAAAGTCCAAATGTTTAAATAATTTAAACTTTAGTTAAAAATAACCAAAAACAATAACCCTTTGTGTTTGCTTAAATCTGTCCAACTCCAAGAGGACATGTCAAGGTTGTCCAAACTTTTAGTGACATAATCATCCTGCAGCTGGACTTTGATAAATGATCAGAGTCAAGATGACCGGCTGAACCTGAACAACAAATGTTGAAACAAACTCGTTTCAGCTAATTTCAGCTGTTTTGTGCTCCTTTCAGCATTATTTTGCCAACTAACATTTTTGTGCTTCTTCTAACTTATTTCAGCTAATTTCAGCTTGCTCTGCTCCTTTCAACTTATTTCTGCAAGTTTCAGCTATTTTTGCTATTTCAGGTACTATTTAACTGTTTTTATGCTAATTTCAGCTCTTCCAGCTAAATCCTCATTTTTTGCATTTCAACATTTTTCAGCCAAATTCAGCAAAAAAAAGTGCTTTTTCCACTTGCTTCTGGTAATTTAAGCTTCTTTCAGCTATTCAGCTGTTTGTTTGTTTTGCAAATTTCTGCTGTTTTCGGATAATTTCCACCTTTTTGTGCTAAATTTTGCTTCTTTAAGCCTAATTGTGCACAGTTGTTCTCTATACACTTCCTTTTGGTAGTTTAAGCTTCCTTATACAAATTAAAAAGATTTCAGCTACTTTCAGCTGTTTTTTTTTCAACAGTTTTATGCTCCTTTCAGATTTATTCTGCCAACTACATTTTTGTGCTTCTTCTAACTTCTTTGTGCTAATTACAGCTTGTTATGCTCCTTTCAGCTCATTTCTGAAATGAGCAGGTATTTCTGCTATTTCAGAAACTATTCTGCTGTTTTTATGCTAATTTCAGCTTTTTCAGTTAATTCTACATTTTTTGCTCTCATTTAAACATTTCCTCAGCCAAAATAAGCGTAAATGTTCTCTCTGCTTGCTTCTGGTAATTTAAGCTTCTTTCTATTTTGTTTTTTTTATAGCTATTATTCAGCTGTTTTTGGCTCATTTCTGCTTTTTTCAGATATCTCCCACTTTTTTTTTGTTTTTTTGCTAATTTCTGTTTCTTCAAGCCTAACTAGGCAGAATCGTGCTCCCTCCACTTCCTTATGGTAATTTCAGCTTCTTTCTACCTTTTTAGTAGCTATTATTCAGCTGTTTATGCAAAATTCTGCTTTTTACAGATGATTTCCACTTTAATGTGCACATTTCTGCTTCTTTAAGCCTAATTGGGCACAACTGGGCTCTCTTCACTTTCTTCTGGTAATTCAGACTTCTTTCTGCCGTTTCAGCTACTTTTCCGCTATTTCTTGCTCATTTCAGTTTCTCTTTAGCTTATTTATGAAATTGTTCTGCTAATTACTGCTCATTTAAACCAAATTCAGCAATTTGCTCTTTCTGCTTCCTCTGCTAACTTAGGCTTGTTCTTCCATTTCAGCTACATTTCAGCATGTTTTTAGCCAATTTCAGCTGATTTTCAGCAGGTTCTTCAGCAATAAGCATTCACGCTGCATTTTCGCAGGAAACGCAATTACTCTAGTTTGAACTTGTGCACGATTAATCTTCCACACACTGAACTTACACTGAATCTGTTCGTGTACAACCAGCGCGAAGTGGTCGGTCTCCAGAATGCGGGACAGCTTCCCCAAACTGCCAGTTAGGCGAATCTGTGAGTGACAGTCAAATGTTAGGAGGAACAGAAGTGTAGGAGAATTAAAAAAAACTCCCTGAGCATCAAATTCCTTTAGATGGAACAATTAAAAGCTAATCTTTGAAGGAATGCATATTGCCCACTGCCTTTCCTTTTAGCGATTTAGACTAAGATTATCTTATGTTGAGACGTGACCAAGTTGTGAATGACTCCCAGCTACAATCACACCAAACTTTAAATCAGTATCTGTAAAACTGACTAAAGTATATTCAAGTCGTCAAATTTATTCATAACATTTAAAAACAGCAACGGTTAGCAAGCACTCCAGCAAGTTGTGTGTAAATATAATGTAAAACAAAGTTTAAAGCATTGTTTGAGCCAGAAAACAGGTCATCTCGACTAAAGGTAGATGGTTTGACACCAACTTAACTTTGACTTTTAGACCAAATTGTACCCAATTTTAGCCTCGACATTTTCAGACGTTTTAAAAGTTCTTTAGACGTATTTCAACCCCAAAATTCAAATTGGGTAAATTTTTCAACAATTCTACATTATCCGAGAAGGTGTAATTTACTATGCAAAATGAAAATATACCAAAGATGACATTCATGTTTTTAAGTCTTTCATAGTAAAGCGCAAGTTCTCAATGATTAAAAGTTCTGTGTGGACCATCAAATGGGCTCAACTCCACAAAGGGGACTTTCAACAACAGATGGCGCTAAAGAGCCAAGTAACCTCAAACGTGCTAATAAATTTAATATTTTATACATCAAAACCCTGACTAGATTTAAAAATACAAACATACTTATAAAGAATCTTCATTTTTGGATAAACTGATGTACACACATTACTTTGAACCTATTTTTGTGCACAATGCGACTTGTTTTACCCTCGACTGGACCCTAAGTTTCTAAAATCTTGGAGAAAATAGTTTTTACTCAATTAAATGCGTATTTGAATGAGAATGGCATTTTTTTTTAGATCTTTCAGTCTGGTTTTAAACAATTACACAGTACTGACACAGCCTTTGTAAGGGTTTGTAACAATATTCTTCTAGCAAATGACTGGTCAGTTTGTGATCCATATACTCCTGGACCTTTTGATTAGGAGTTGAATCGGCTAGTCCATTCTAGGACATCGAGAGTTTTTTAACTTCACGTGGACTAGTCGCAGTCACCACCACCCACTCCGCTGTTTAGCGCTGTCATTTCTAACCAAGGCCCGTGCGTGCGAGCCAAAATAATGTGTTGGATGGGCAGGCCGTTCGGTGCCGGGCTTTTGATTGTGTTAGCGGACGCACAGCTGACGATCTGATTTGGATCACCACCAGCCACTCGCGGCCGTTTGACCGCACGCTGACTGGTCCGGTCGGCTAAGTGGTATAAAATTATCCAGATTAATGCCTGCCAGCGACACACATGAAGCTTACCAGCTGCCGTGTCAGTGGATACGCGTGGCCGACGATCTTTAATAACTATAATATTATAAAAAGGCGGATCCTACCACTGCCCGCACCGCTGTTTTTAGTTTTGTTTTTTACGTGCCACACGTTTCTTTCACTTTATCATGCTGAAGTCTACTTTTAAAAATATATAGTCGTGCAACACCTATTTTTGATACCGTTTGACCACAGTATACTTGTATTGCGGTTACAACACTGGGTTGGGATCACAGGCGCAGCATTCGAATGGTTCCATTCTTATCCGAGCAACAGTATTTTGTGTTAATATTGGTAATATTTTATCTGCTTCAGCGCCTCTTTCCTGCGGGATTCCACAGGGCTCGATTCTTGGACCCCTTCTGTTTTCATTGCATCTGCTCTGTTTGGGGTCTATTTTGAGGAAACGTGTTTTTTCTTTTAATTGTTATGCTGATAATTGTCAGATTTGCCTTTAAAACCCAATAGTTATTGCTCCATTCACCCTCTGTTAAAATGTCTTGATGACATCAAGGCATGGATGGTTTCAAATTTGTTAAGTTTTAACAATCAGAAAACTGAAGTTATTGTGTTTAGCCCTAGCTCTACTGCCGTTTCTGTTCCTGTAAACCTTGACTATCAGGTCATATCTTAAGCAGTCAGATACAAATCTCGGGATGGTTTTAGACTCGGATTTTAAGTTCAATAAACAGTTTAACTCTGTTCTACAGAAAAGCTTCTTCCAGTTAAACTAGATAGCTAAGCTTAAGTCAGTTGACCAGACCTGACCTTGAAAAAAATAGTCCATGTCTACATCACAACCCGACTCGATTACTGTAATGCGCTTTATGTTGGGGTCAGTCAGGTCTCCCTTTCACGTTTCCAGTTTGTCCAGAATACTGCAGCTCAGCTCTTAACAGGAATTCGTAGGTTTGAGCATATTTCACCGGTGTTATCCTCCCTTCACTGGCTCCCTGTACATCAAAGAATAGATTTTTAAATTCTCCAGTTGACCTATAAGTGCTAGTCTCGCATCCTCATATTGTTGCTTTTGGTTGTACCAAAAACCAGGTCGAAGTTCAGCGGAGATCAAGCCTTTTAAGTCGCGGCCCCTAAACTTTGGAACAATCCGCCCCCCAACATTGGACAGGCCACTTCCTGTTTTTAAATCTCTTAAAAACAGACCCGTTTACACTGACTTTAAACCCAGTGGGATTTGATTTAGTATTTTAAATGTTGTGTGTTTGATGTTTTTCTTTTGATGCTTTAAAATTATCATTTTACTTTAAATAACGACCATTGCTTTTTTTTTTTTAATTGTTAAGCACTTTGGTAACTGCCGTTTTTAAACGTGCTTTATAAACAAATCTGACTTGACTCGTTCAAAGTTTGGCTGATTTCCAGCCGTTTCACCTGGAGACACTCCCCCTGCACTCTTGTGTTTTATTGGCTGCTGCTGTCAGCCAATCAGAAGTAGACATTTAGAAATCAGAACTGAAAGTGAATCTGATTAAAAGTAAACGTGAAGTGTAATGGAGGGTTGTACATTCTATTTTCTCTTCATGTTCAGAGGCGCTGAATCGTGTCTGACCTGTCTGAACTGCTTGTAGAGGACTTTACTGACAGGATCCGACACTTTGATCTTCCCTGCAAGAATTGATGACAAAATGTTTCCCAATGTCACCATTCCCAGTATGACCCTACATAGACACACAGGGGGAAACCAACACCTTTAGTTTTGCTTCATGTACAAAATACACACAAGAACACTCAAATAAGAATTTATTCTTTCATGAGAGGGGCCCTTACCCTGTATCATCCACTACAGGCGCCTGGTCGAAGCCCTTCTCCTTGAGGATTTTGATGGTCTGCTGACAGCTGACTGTAGGCTGGACGGTGAGAGGAGCCGATAGGTTCAAGCTCTGCAGCTTCAAGTTCCACCACCTGCAGGGTTTTCAGGCAAATCTGTGAATCGATTGTCTGCTAAGCTGCTAAAATGACATAACTAAACTTTAACTGCACACACCATGGCTTCTTCACCATCAGGTCCTCCTCCCTCAGGAAGCCCTTCTGAACCATCCACTTGTCATTCAAGAACTTAGACCTGAAGGACACAAACAAAGCGTTAATAAATCCATTGTGACATGCGCCAATCAGATGATGTCTGGGCCACAGCTGGAACTAGAATTGTAAAGCCTCAAAACTGTAAATGAAATTAAAATGCCAGTTAGTTAAGGCCATAGTGTCCCAGAGAAAATTGCTTGGAGTCGAAATGTCTACCATTGTTGTGCAAACATGCTCAGTGACGATCATGTCTATTACTCCCGCGTGCAATTTATCCCGAGAGGTAACAAGGAAAACATAAAGGACGATGGTTGATACTCTCAAGAGAAAAGGTTTCAGATTGCAGGACTGTTCAAACCATGAGAAACCATAACGACGATGGTTCAAATAAATCTATTGGCTCAGTCTTTCAGTCATATAGTTTAATTATCACATAAAATACCCATTATACTAAAAACTAAGTGAAAAGCTGTGAAGAATAAAATGTTGCTTTTGTACCGATGTTCGATTTAAACAGAAATAACCCAACAAAGTTCTGTCGGGTCCTTTGGATGGTTTCTTTTTTGTCGAAACATTTCGTCCTTCATCCAAAGGACTTCATCAGTCCGAGGAGCCACAACAAACTCACATAGTGGACCAACCAGTTTGATGGTATATCGCTAGGGGTGTACAGATTTCAGTTTTCTGGCCGAACACCAATTTCTAAAAAGTCTGACCTGCCAATTCCGATTTTGTCCGATACTGATTTTGTTTTATAAGCGACACTGTCAGGTGTTATAAGGTCCCAACGCACCTTCAATGTTCCAATCTTATTTTATTGAAAAGCATACCCTTGAACAATATTCTAGAACCAATACAAACTTGTTTTAACTGGCCACTCTGAAATATAAATGAAGTTCAGACAATTGTTGTTACAACAACAACAACAACAACAACAACAACAACAACAACAACAACAAAATTAAACTTAAAAAAAACAAAAAAAAAATCAGTTTCTTATGCAAGTATCGGCCGATTTCCCAAAATTAAGGAAATGGGGGCTGATTTATTGGTGCACCCCTACATATCGCCATTAATTTTAAAATATTGAGATATTAATTTTGGTCCATATCGCCCAGCCCTAATGAGGTGTATGGGAGGCTGGACTTGTACTGATTGGCGAGACAGAGGGATCACAGACGGGGCACTCGGTTCTGTTGACGGGGCACTCGGTTCTGTTGACATGGCGAGGCGCCCCGCTTGTATAATGGTAGGGGAAACACTGATGTTAGGCTGCCTTCAGGCTCAGACCTCTCTTGGAAAAGAGATCTTTGATCTCAATGGGATTTGCCTGGTTAAATAAAGGTTAAAAATGGTGATAAGATGATTTCTGGAGTCTGTCGTCTTCCCCGTCGACTCCTCTGATGCAGCTATAGCCAAAGTGGATCAAAACCATTGAGTTTGTTGAGGCTCATCGGACTGATGAAGTCCTTTGGATGAAGGACGAATCGTTTCAACAAAAAAGAAAACATCAAGAGGACCTGACTTTAACATTGTTGGATTTTCTACCTTGTTGAGCATGAACTTTGATATTATGAACCACTTTGGCTATGGCTGCCTCAGAGGAGTCAACGGGAAAGAGGGCGGACTCCCGAAACCATTGTTTTACCACGAAACTGGTTGGCCCACTATGTGAGTAAAGCCACTTATGGGACTGAGTTTTTTGTGGCTCCTCAGACCGATAAAGTGATCTGGATGAAAGACGAAATGTTTCAACAAAAAAAGAAACCATCCAGAGGACCTCGTTCAACTTTGTTGGATTTTTTACCTGGATTATCAAGCATGAACTTTGATAAACAGATATTAGTTTTGAGGCGACAGGAACTGCGAGGCGGGCAGCACGGTGGCGCAACTGGTAGAGCTGCTGCCTCTCAGCGAGCAGGTCCTTGGTTCAAACCCCGGTCCAGGGGCCTTTCTGGGTGGAGTTTGCATGTTCTCTCCGTGCATGCGTGGGTTTTCTCCGGGTGCTCCGGTTTCCTCCCACAGACCAAAAACATGCATGTTAGGCTGATTGGTAACTCTAAATTGTCTCTAGGTGTGAGTGAGAGAGTGAATGGTTGTTTGTCTCGTTTGTCTCTATGTGGCCCTGTGATGGACTTGCGACCCGTCCAGGGTGTACCCCGCCCCTCGCACAGTGATTGCTGGACATGGGCACCAGCGACCCCCGTGACCCAAAAATGGAATAAGCGGGTAAAGAAAATGGATGGATGGATGGATGGAACTGCGAGGCTTCTCACATGTAGTTGCGGATGGAGTCTGGCAGGATGACCACACAGCGCTGACCCTCCTTCAGCTCTTTGGCGACGTTCACAGCTGCAGCCATTGCCGTCCCGGAGCTGCCTCCTGTTGCATAATGAGACAAGTTTTTACTGGCGCTTAAACTAAGTCTGAAGTCAACAAGAAATCGATGGCTGTAAACATGCTAACGCACCGCACAGCAGGCCTTCGTCTCGGATCAACATGCGAGACATGTTGAAGGACTCCTCGTCTTTGGATTTGTACCACGTGTCAACAATCTGTAAGAATTAGGGTAGTGAAAGATAAACCCATACGACCGGATATTCGGTTTGACAAGCTAGTAATATGGCTGCGTCGATAGCAACCAGCCACAAATCCTGAGATGAATCGTTGAGGAGACATGGACCGGGTATCGCGAGAATAGCAATCAGTTGACAGTGCGTCACTAAAACAAAGCGAGAGACGGGAATGCCTGCTAAGCTATTCTCACGCATGCTCCGTAGCTCACAGAGACTGAAGACGAGAACGGATGTCAGTAGTAGCAGCGCTAGCGAGTCACTGCGGAAGATTTTCAATACATCAGTCAGACAAAAATCTAGAGTGCGGAATGTTTTCGGATTTTACAAGAAGAACGGAAAACTCGACAAAAGCCACACTGTAAGCTATGCAGAGCATCTCTGAAGTACACTGGTAGCACAACAAACCTTGACCAACATGCAACGAGAAAACACAGGAGTATGGCGAATTTCTCAAGCCCCATAACAACGAGCAGGAGCATGCAGCTGTCACACAGAGGGTGACGGGTAACGTTATCACTACATTTTACGGGCAACTCTGCGATAATTCATCACGAGCTAAGGATATAACCACATCAATAACCCGTTTTATCGCTAAGGGTTTATGTCCGTACAATATAGTGGAGGGGGAAGGATTTCAGGACTTGATTCATACGTTAAGAGCCCAGATAAGATTCTGTCATTGGTAATTGTTTTCTATTTCAGATAATAAACCTCCTTGTAAAAAGAAGAAAATTGGGAGAAGACTTTGAAGTATGGATGGCAGCTAGATCTGTAAGGGACCAGACCAATGAAGAAGTCAAGAGGTACAGAGAGCGTGATCCTTTGCCCATGAAAAAAAACCCACTGCAGTGGTGGAAAGAGCAACAGGACTTGCTACTGCTGTCATCTGTGGCTAAAAGGTATAATCGAAAAGTCGAATCGCATCGTTCTTACGCTGTATCGAATCGTTATGTTTTAAAAATATACAGTTTTCGAATCGAATGGTAACCTTTGTATCTAGATGCGTATCGAATTGTCTATCACACAGAGATGCACATCCCTAGTAAGAATTGCATATATCCCGTGTGCGTCAGTGAGGAAGACATGAAAAAAGGAGGTGAAATTAAAAAAAGGTCACGGGGACTTACAGATCTGTCAAGAACAGTGGGAATGAAGTCGTAGCCGATTCCCTCCACTTCATACTGGGTCTTATCGGTCTTGTTGAGCTCCTCAGGCTCAGCAAGGATGGAGCCTTCCGGGTCAACGCCAACAATCTGCACACAATACCAACCGTTCATTAGCTCACTGGATATACAAACACTCCATGGTTAAATTATGGATGAAATAATTATCAGAAGTTTAAACAGGTTCTTAGAAAGTAGCTCACTTTGATGTTTGGGCACCTTTCCTTCAGTTTGCGAGCGATGCCTGTGATCGTCCCGCCTGTACCAGCACCAGCCACTAGCATGTCCACTTTACCTGTTTGAAAAGGACAAAATAACAAGAGGCAATTTTTAAGTCTTGAAAATACAGGTAGACTAAAAACTGCTGCAAATGAACTTCTTCTACGAGTTGGTCGTACCGTCGCATTGCTCCAGGATCTCCTCGGCCGTGGTGTCGTAGTGAGCCAGGGGGTTGCTTGGGTTGCGGTACTGGTCCAGGATGTGCGAGTTGGGGATCTCGTTCTTGAGGCGCCAGGCCACACCCACATGAGACTCGGGCGAATCGAAACGAGCGCTGGTGGGTGTACGGACGATCTCAGCGCCGAGAGCTCTCAGGACGTCCACCTGCAAAGACAAGCCCGACAGAAACAAAGAACAGTTATTAATTATGACCTTAGATTCTAGATAGAAATTTACTACAACTTGTCACTTCTTGACAACATTGTGTGTTTCAAGTTGTACACCAAAATAATAATAAGTAAAAATATGATTTTGAGTAACTAGTGTTGTAGTACTCAAGACCAGTCTTGGTCTTGAGACTGGTCTCAAGACCAATTTTTGATGGTCTCAGTCTCATCTCAGACTTGACCACATTTGGTCTTGGTATTGTCTCAGTCTCGGACATTGAGGACTCGGGATTTTATTTCAAGACCAGTCAAGACCACAACTGTGGAAATATCACTAAATTGCCAGAATACTGTCCAGTATATTTGTTAACATCTTTGTTTTTATTGGACGCAAAATGTACCGATTCAAGTGAGAACGTGACTCATTGCTACATTTTTTGTTACCGCTGTCACGCCCACCCCCTTTCACTCGCACGCGTCACTCCCAGTGTGGCCAGATTGGGCGGTTTACTGCCAATTAGGCAGTTTTCATTCTGATTTTACTGGGAACTCTGGGAAGATTTTTGTTGGCTTATTGCATTTTGCCACATATTGTTAAATTACCTTGGTTTGCACTGATGTGTGTTCATGTTCAAACAGTAAATATACTGTAACAATATATTGACTGGGCAGATTTTTGTGTGATGTGGTGGTTTTTAACAGAGTTTTGGGCTGGAAAACCTTGACTCTATCTGGCAACACTGGTCACTCCAAGAAAGTGAGAAGTGATTGTCTGGGCGCAGGAGAAGATGTCTGCCATATCATCAGTTATAAAATTTGCCTATTTAAATCATAAAGAATATACTTATAACTAATGCATCTATATACACACATCCGCTCACACAGACTCATGTTCATGTTTGTGCTGATATTCAATGTTTTTATGTTATGAGTGCTTAGTGTATATTTAGTTGATGTTTTTCTTAGTTCATATCTTAGATGTTATTACGGTTTTGCTTATACATTTTATTGTTGGATGTAACTGGGACACTGTGTACATAATTTCACTCCACCACATGTACCACATGAGGTGCGAATGACAAAGAATTTCTGACTCTGACTATATGGTTATCCTTGGTGTTGAGTTCAGATTTATGAAAAGTTTTGCCACTGCAGTTTTTTAAGGCTCGACATGTGATGAAACTGCTTCCAGTTTAACAGTTGTGTCATTTTATTGTTGAATCACATGACGTTAGGCCACTGAATGTCTGATTTCTTTGTTATGTAGCTTTGAAAATTTATAAAAGCTGATATATTCATTCAAAAGCAAACTTAAAGTTGCAGTATGTAACTTTTATTAATATATATATATATGGGGGCCGAGATGGTGTAGAGGCAGGGCAGCCGGCTTGGGACCCGAAAGTCCCAGGTTCGATCCCCAGTCACTGCACATCACGTGGCGTCTCTGGGCAGCACGTCTCATCCCCAAAATGCCCCCCCGGGCGCTTTCAATAGCTGCCCACTGCACCACCTGGTGGTGGATGGGTTAAATGCAGAGACTAATTTCGCCATTGTATGGAAACATACAGTGCTGACATTGTGATGACATTATTATTATTAT